TTTAAAAGATTTTTTTTACATTTTTTTTACTTTTTAGGTGTATTTATATTAGGTATGTCTAAAAAGTAAAAAAATTACTAAAAATATTAAAAAAATTTACTAAAAATAAAAAAATACGAAAAATAAAAAAGTAGAATTTTTTAAAAAAGTGTTTTTTGAAAAATAAAAACAGGCAAGCTTATTTGAATTTAAAAATTAAATATATTTTTTAATTTTAATGATTAATCAATTAATTATTTTTATGTTTTATTAATTGTTTTTATGTTTTTATTAATTTTAATGATTAATCAATTAATAAAATATTTAATAAATTATTTAAAATCTCTACGTTACTCAATATACAATTATAAATCCCCACAACCGATATTTTCTCATTTTTCACACCCAACACATATCCTGTCAATTCGAGGAGAATTATGCACTCAAGGATACCAACATTGGGATTGGATCTTAATTATCGGCAATGGAAAAGATGCCCTTCAACTTGAAAGTATTATATATATATATAAATTTTAAGATAAATTATAAATATATTTTTAAAATTTATTTATAATACAGATTATTTTTTGTGATTTAAAAAATTATAAATATCTTATTGTTAATATTTAAAAAATTATAAATATTTCTTATTAGAATTTTTTATATAACAAAATTAATTAAAAAAATAAAATTCATAATTAATCACTTATACAATAATAAAATTACTTAAATTATTAATTAAAACGTATTTTTAACATCATTAAAAATTATTAATTAAATTAATAATTTGTTAATAGAATGAGCGATTTGTTATGAAATTAGAAACCTTAAGGGGTGAAATGTAATTTTTAAAATATGAGGAACGATTTATATTTTAATCAAATCTCAAAAAATATATTTGTAATTTATCCTAAATTTTAATAATTTATATCACATTTGTTCTTTTTCTTTTTCATGGCCCACTTAGAGTGACAAAAAAAAAACCTTATCATCACGAAAGTGAGCCATTTTTCTTTATGAGTAATGCTAGAAACCCCAAAAATTCCACCAAAAGTTTTACCAAATGTTTCATATGGGTGTGGGACCCACACAATGTGAATCCCGTGTGAGTTCTACACCTATGTGAGACATTTAATAAAATTTTTGGTAGAATTTTTAGAACCTCTAATATTTTTGTTTTTTTCTTGGTTTCATAGGCGCAAGCGTCCCTTGCATATTTATTTTTCTTTTCTTGGTTTCATACGCACATGCGTCCTCTGCGTACAACAAAATAACAGTGGCAAAGATGCCCTTCAACAAGGATACCGACGCTAGGATTGGATCTCATAGGCAATGGCAAAGATGCCCTTCAATAAGTCCCTTGAAAGTCCCTTGCCATTGTTTCGAAGAAACCATCCATATTGGCTTAAAACTTAAATTAAGGTCAAGTTTGGAAAGTTTTAAAAAAGTCAAAAAGTTAAAAAGTTATTTAAAAAATTAAAAAGTTATCTCTATTTACTAAAAGTCAATAATTACGGCTGCACAACTCACAATACTAATTTTCTCTTACACATTGGGGGCTTAATTTAGGCTAAAATTCACAAAAAAACAAAATAGGCTAAAATAGCTAATAAGACAAAATATCACATCAAACCCATAATCATTTCACTTTTTCTCTCACAAACATCACATCCAACCATGAAAAAATCCAATCATCTTCCTAAACACAAAAATTTTAGCCTACTAAAATAGCCAAAAATTAAAATAGCCTACTAAAATAGAAACTTCCCAAACGAAGCCATTAATTTATACAATTTTTTAATACACATTTTTCCATAAAAAGTCAAAAAGTTAAACGAAATATTCATATTTTTAATCTCAACTTTTTAGTCTAAAAAGACAAAAAAATACACTTATTTAAGACACCCCAAACATCCCCTAATTCACTTTTCTTTTTCAATCAAAGTTCTTTATTGTTCGAAGTAATTAAGCCCTTACATTTTCCACCTTCTTGAGATCAAACCACCCAAATTCAATACGTATACAGAGTGTACAAAAGAACATAACCGCCAAGGATGGTTGATGTTGTTGTCTCTTCCGTAGTGCGGAGACTTGGTGTCTTCTCATTGATCAAGTAATTTTTTTGCAAGGAGTGAGAGATAAAGTCAACTATCTGAGAACCAAATTGGAATACATGTTGTGTTTCTTGAAAGATGCAGAAGAAAAACAAGATCAAGACAGTAGGATACGCAAATGGGTATCCGATATTAGAGATGCTGCTTACCAAGCCGAGGATATTATTGACAAGTTTATTCTCAAAGTTGAAGAAGGAGGGATTCCCAAAAGGACAGGGTTCAAAGCTTGCCTCAGAAAGTACTTTTGCATCTACAAACAAGCAAACAAGTATGGGATAGGTAAGGAGATTCAAGAATGGAAGAATAGACTCGATGAAATTGATCGAAATCATGAAATTTTCAAGATCAGAAATATCGAAGCTGCTAGGGAGGGATCAAGTAGCATGAATGAGATATTCAAGCAACTACGAAGGACAACACCTTATGAAGACGACTAACATGTTGTGGGCTTCACGAAGGATGTTGAGTTACTGACATCTAAACTTCTCTAAGAAACGCCCCATCAATGTGTAATTTCGATTGTGGGCATGGGCGGTTTGGGTAAGACGACCTTAGCTCGAAAACTTACAACTCTGGCAGTGTTGGAGATGAATTTAAGCGTAATGGTTGGGTTTCTGTATCCAAGGATTACAACATCCAGAATCTTCTTCGAAGAACAATAAAATCTTTCAAGATGCCAACCACCAAAGATGAATTGGAGATATTGGAAAAGATGGAACCAGCAGATTTGGAGTGGCATTTACGTGAGTTGTTGAAAGAAAGTCGATACCTGGTGGTGATTGACGATGTATGGGATATAGATGCTTGGGCAAGCTTGAGGAGAGCCCTCCCAGACAACAAGAAAGGAAGTAGAGTAATTATCACCACTCATAAGAAAGTTGTTGCCGAGAGTTCTGGTGAGAGAAAATTTGTCCATGAGCTTCCATTTCTACAAGAAGAAGAAAGTTGGGAATTGTTTTGTAAGAAAGTGTTTCCGGACTATGATGAGGTCAACGATAAAACAAGTCATTGCCCTCCAAGCATGGAAAAATTGGCAAGAGATATGGTCAGAAAATGCCGTGGCTTACCGCTAGCCATAGCTGTTTTGGGTGGGCTATTGTCAAGAAAACATCCTGATGAGTGGCCCCAATTGCAGGGCCGCTTCTGGCGACATGTAAGCAGTGACGACTTTGAAAGCCATGACTTGACTCATGTCACACAAATATTGGCTTTAAGTTTCAACGATTTGCCTTATCACTTGAAGTCGTGCTTTCTTTATTTGGGGTTATTTCCTGAAGATTTTAAAATTGATGCAGTGAGACTTATACGGTTATGGATGGCAGAAGGTTTCATACAAGAAGCAGAAAGAGAAACGTTAGAGAAGACAGGTGCAGAATATCTAAATGAGCTGATTGACAGAAATTTGATTCAAGTAGCTAAAAGAAACTGGATGAGAATTGTAAGATGTCGAGTGCATGATCTTCTTCGAGATTTTGCAATTGAAAAGTCGAAGGAGTTAAATTTCTTTCATATCTATGATAGAAATGCTTATTCCGCACCATCTCCCTGCAAACATCGAAGACTAGCTTTTCATAGTTGTGGATTAAGAAGGTTTGATTCCTTTGATCAGTCATCAAATTTGCGTTTACGAACCCTTTTGTTCTTCAACTCGGGATTTGAATTCACCGAAATAGGAGAGTTACAATTTCTGTACAAAACGTTGAGATTGTTGAGAGTGTTAGATCTTGAGATATTCAATCTTTCCCAAGAAACAGAGCATATAAGGTTACTTGATGCAATAGAGAAGTTCATTCACTTGAGGTACTTAAGGATAAGTGGCTCCAAAATAAATAAGATTCCACCATCCGTAGGTAACTTGCAAACCCTACAAACCCTGGAATTTTCCGGATGTGATAGGCTAATTATTATGTTACCAGATGAGATATGCAATGCAAAGCAGTTGAGACATTTAATTGGACGCTTCAAGTGGCCTTTCCGAGTGGAAAACCTAATAAACCTTCAAACTCTAGACTCCATTGTAGTTGATGACCGGATGGAATTCAATCCATTAAGGGATTTAATCAATCTTCGCAACTGAGAGGGTAATTTATACTTATAAACTGAGCCGAGCTGGGTAATAGGCAGTTATGGGCCACATTGCGAAGGGCTGAGTAAAAAGGCCATGAAGTTACTCCGGCCCAAGAGAGGTTTAAAGTTACTCCGGCCCAAGAGAGGTGTAAAGTTATTCCGGCTCAAGAGAGGTGTAAAGTTACTCCGGCTCAAGAGAGGTGTAAAGTTACTCCAGTCCCAAAGAGCTTATGATAAGTTTGGTCGTCACTCACAAAGTTATCCCGGTTTGGACCGGAGTATTGGTTATTCCGGTCCAGACATACCGTGGTTAGCATTAAAAAGAGCCAAGGTAAGAGCAGTGAATGGAAGAGCCGAGCTAATGTTATCTCGGTCTAGTCTGCAGCTTAGCATAGCCATGCTTACCTCGGTCATGTTGAAGTCTAACCATGGTAGAACCATCTCACTTGGTTTATTCAGTGAGGGGGGTGTTGAAGGATAAGCATTATCTTTCAAGAATACGAATCCTAGGAGGACTCTACATGGAGGAGTGAAAGTCCTATTAGGATTGTGCCACGCGGAACCCATAAAAGCTTACAACATCACCTATGAAGAGCTAACACACAACTTTGATACACAGCTTTTTGTATTTATCTATTTTGCTGACTTAGGCATCGGAGAGGTATCCGGCATACACCCGCCGGCTAGCTCACGTTTGTGTTTTCAGGGAGTAAAGTGACGACGTTTGGAGGAGCGCAGACTTGATCAACAGGATTATACGAGAAGGTTTATTTCTTTCCCGTATAATTGGCGCCGTCTGTGGGAATAATAGACAGAACAAAACCTCTTGATCAAGTTTCCCTCGCCAGTTGGATGGCACACAACGAAGATTTGCCGCAGTCCGCCATCGACGGACAAACACCTGAGGGGGGTGCAAGGCGTGAAGGCCTACCTTCTATCCCTCCCATGGCGGACTTAGAGCCACAGCGACAAAATCCCAGGAGGGATACAAGGGGGAGGAGGCAGACTAACAGCCCCCGTCACTCTCGTTCACGAAGTCCTAACAGACAAAGGTGGAGGATTGATCCTCAAGTTCTGGAGGACCGCGTGAAGGAGCAAGATGAATTAATAAGGAAGATGGCGGACATGGAGGCCATGAAGCGCCTGATGAAAGGAAAAGGAGTGGCGACAAGAGAGGGGCGCAAAAGCAAGACACCCCCTCGCCACTCAGAAGACCGTTGAAGGCATTCCACACCATCACAAGCAGAGAGTAGAAGCCTCAGGACAGGCGATACTCAATCCAGAACCTCCAGAACTCGTTTCTCCAGGTCTGAGAGAACAAAATCATTGAGGTCTTACACGGAGGAAAGTACCTATCGACCCTCGCGTTCGCACCAGATATCATCCAGGCAGACGGTGTTGCCAAGATCGTCCGATTTACGGAACATGTTGGAAGAAAAGGCACGATGGAAAGAGGATACTAGGGCGCGCAACCCTCGCAGGGTATCTGCCCTTCTGCGGTTGGCCCCTCGGACGCATGAAAGCGTCGAGGTCAGAATGCCGTTGACACGCCCTGCCTACGAACCAACGGACAAAGCATTAACAAGGCTGCAGACCTCGTCATTCGTTCCGGCAATTGAAAACGCGCCCCTTCCTTCAGGTTTCCTTCAACCCAAATTCACCACGTACGAGGGAAAGACAGACCCCTACATACACCTAAGCCACTTCCGCCAGGTTATGGCGGTATATCGGCGAAATGAGGCTTTGATGTGCATCCTCTTCCCATCAAGCCTTGGTGACCTAGGCTTGACTTGGTTCGAAAACTTCCAGAAGGTAACATAGCCTCTTGGGCACAATTGGCGGAGGCGTTCGTCACAAGGTTCAGAACGAACACCAAAACCCCGGTGGAGATTGACCAGTTACTCTCCACCGACATGGGCAAAAAGGAGACACTAAGATCCTACAATAGTCGCTACTGGGAGACATTCAACCAGATTGGGGACTGCCCCACCAATCTCGCCATTGCACAGTACAAAAGAGGCCTTCTAGTCAGAAACAGACTAAGGGACTCAATCACCATGACACCGCCCCTCACTATGGAAGCCTTGATAGAAAGAGTGCATCAGCACATCAGGGCGGAAGAGGATGGCGCCCGTGCCAAGACAAAATCTGGCACGACCGCAGTACCAGATAAAAAGACCATAGCAAAGATCAACACGGTAGAACGTCCGAACAAAAATGAACGAGGTAGGCGAGACAACGGAGAGGACCAGGATAAAAGATGGTTGAGAGTCCGCACTGCCATAACCACGGTATTCAAGAAACCGATCTACCGGATTCTGAGCGAAATACGCGATGAACCTTTCGTCAGGTGGCCAGCTAAGCTAGGAGAAGCACAGAAAGACTACGACGAAAGATCGCAATGCACCTTCCACAAAGAAAAGGGGCACTGTACTGAAAATTGCATGCCATTAAGACAGCACCTAGAGGAGTTGGTGGCAGCTGGTCACCTGGATAAATACATTGAAGGAGGGACGCAACCAGCCCCCCAGGACCACAATAAACCCAATAGAATGCCAATTGACGCCCCACCTCAAGGAGTAATCAATGTGATACATGGAGTATTCGAACCCGAGTGTGTATGCGAGCTCAAAGGGTCGATCAAGAAGGCTGAGCACTTAAGGGAGGTACTAAGTGCCCAACCTACCATCAAAAAGGGGAGAATAGAGGCCAAGAACGTCATGTCTTTTTCAGACAAAGATTTGGAAAGAATATATTGCCCTCACAACGATGCACTGGTCGTCACCCTCCGCATCAAGGACTACTATATCGGCGAAATGAGGCTTTGATGTGCATCCTCTTCCCATCAAGCCTTGGTGACCTAGGCTTGACTTGGTTCGAAAAACTTCCAGCCCCCTGATCGAATTCAACTCAATGCCAGAATGGCCGGTCGACAAAATTATCCTGCCAGTCAGGGCAGGGAACGTGACAAAACAAGTGGAATTTTGGGTGTTGAAGGTCCCTTCCACATACAATATAATCTTGGGAAGAACATGGCTCCATGCCATGAAATTAGTAGTATCATCCTACCATCAAGTAATACGGTTCCCCAACGATGCTGGAGTAATTGAAGAGGTCTTTGCAGACCAGATTATGTCCAAGCAATGGTTTGTCACAGTTAATGGTAGCCGCGCTGCCAAGGGATATGTACATTCGGTCGAAGAACCTGAGAGCAAGGAACTGTTCGCAGATGTCGGCAAAGCGGCTGATCAAAAAGCGGTGGAAGACTTGGTAGAGGTAAGAATAGATAAAAAGAACCCGGATAAGTTCTTTTTGCTTGGATCGTCGTTGTCCAGTACCGAGAGATTAGAGGTCTTGGAATTCTTGACCTCTAACATCGAGGTGTTCGCCTGGACACCCTACGACATGCTAGGCATTGATCCAAACTTCATCTGTCACCAACTCAATGTCCACCCATCCGCCAGACCAATTATTCAGCGCACTCGCAGATCGGCACTCCACCACGCCGAGATAGTGGTGGAAGAAATGGAAAATCTGCTAGAGGCAGGAGCTATCAGAGAGCTGCACTACCCTAGATGGATTTCCAACACAGTCGTGGTACCAAAAAAGAATGGCAAATGGCGTGTCTGTGTCAACTATAAAACAGTCAACAAAGCATGCCCAAAGGACAGCTTCCTCCTACCACGGATAGATCAATTGGTAGACCTAACGGCGGGGCACAACCGACTTAGCTTTCTGGATGCGTACAGAGGCTACCATCAGATTGCCATGTACGAACCAGACCAGGAGGTCATGTCCTTTACCACTCCAAGAGGACTGTATTGCTATAAGGTCATGCCCTTTGGCCTAAAGAACGCAGAGGCAACATTCCAGAGAATGGTCACCAAGATGTTTGAGCCGTTGTTAGGCAGAACAATGGAAACTTACATCGATGACATGGTGGTCAAGAGCAAGGATGAGAATGACCATGTAAAGGACCTAGGTGAGATGTTCCAGATTCTGAAGAAGCACAAGTTGCGCCTTAATGCATCCAAGTGCGCGTTCGGTGTAGGATCTGGTAAATTCCTGGGCTTCCTAGTGACCAACCGGGGTATTGAGGCAGACCCCTCCCAGATCAAAGCGATTCAGGATCTGAAAAGGCTTAACTCAGTAAAAGAAGTGCAGCATCTCACCGGCATGGCAGCTGCACTCAACAGATTCATTAGCCGGTCGTCAGACAGACTACGACCATTTTTTCAAGCATTGAAAGCCAAGTTCGAGTGGGATGAAGAATGCGACCGCGCTCTGGAAAGCTTGAAAGAATACATGTCTTCTCCACCGCTGTTGGTCACCCCAATACTTGGAGAAGAACTCTTCCTGTACCTGGCGGTTTCTTAGCACGTAATTAGTGCAGTGTTGGTCTGTTCAGAAGGAATCCAACATCTGCCCATCTATTATGTCAGCAAGACATTGCTGGGTGCCGAAACAAGCTATTTGCCACTAGAAAAACTGGCCTTAGCCTTAATGATGGCATCAAGGAAGTTGTCGCACTACTTTCACGCCCACACCATAGTTGTCCTTACAGCTTTCCCATTAAAAGCTCTGTTTGAAAGATCGAACTTTTCTAGGAGAATCTTGAAGTGGGCAGTAGAGTTGGGACAATTCGACATCAAGTTCCAACCCAGAACCGCGATAAAGGCCCAAGCTTTGGCAGACTTTGTCGCAGAATTTACCCCAGGAAGTCATCATATCTGCCCAGTCGACCTGACTAACACAACCGAACTAGGAACAGAAGTTGACGCCGGAATAGTGCAACCCCTGGTGCAGGATACTCAGTCAAACCCTATGGCAGACCAGAGTAAAGACAGCAAGGAAAAAGCGAACCATGCTATACCTAGCCAAGACTCACCAACAAATAAAGGCTTTGTACAATCAGATAGCGAGGGGCAGACAGTAAGCATGGACCTTGAAGAAAACACCACCAACATTCTTGACCCCACGACTTCATCTGACCCCTTCACTTGCTGGAAG